GTCATTAGCTTCTTTAAAGTTCTGTAAGTTGTCTTGGCAACTTTCAAGTACACAGTTTCTCAGAGACATCTTAGGATGGGTTAATCATTCACCTCTTCCAGGTAATATATCATGTATATTTTATGGATGCTTCTGGGACTGTAAATTTCCCTTTAATTGGGAAAACTAAAGTAGTTGAAGACTGTTATGGTAAGTGTCATTGTCTTTGATTTTCTTTTTCTTGAGTCTTTACTTTCCTTTTTAATATGTTGTAATAGTCAATTAATCACCAATTAATAAAATTTCTCATTTATCCCACCGAATTAATCATTTCTACTCACATAATAAATATATTTCAATTCATAAAACATCCAACTTTTATGTTTCATCTTTCAGATTACCATTACCCCTGTGTGTGTTTTAATATCCTAGTCTAAGTTTATCCTTCCTTATGAACCTGTAAACAAATTAAATTTTGACTCTGAAGTCATGAACTCCAGCAAAATTACTTAAGCTCTACTGAAAATTGTCATGCACATATATTTTCAGAAATCTTGGCATCCCTGAAAATTCACACTTTCCAGGTAATCCATTTTAGAGCCATCTTATTTTATTTTCTTTTTAAAATATTTATTTATTTGAAGAGATACACAGAGAGGAGAGAAAGAAATCTACCATCTTCTAGTTTACTCCACAGATTTTTCTTTTTTTGTCTTTTTTTAACTTTTATTTAATGAATATAAATTTCCAAAGTACAGAATATTGATTACAATGACTTCCCCCCCATAACGTCCTTCCAACCCGCAACCCTCCCCTTATACACTCCCTCTCCCCTTCCATTCACGTCAAGATTCATTTTTGATTCTCTTTATATACAGAAGATCAGTTTAGCATACATTAAGTAAAGATTTCTACAGTTTGCTCCCACACAGAAACATAAAGTGAAAAATACTGTTTGAGTACTAGTTATAGCATTAAATCTCAATGTACAGCACACTAAGGACAAAGATCCTACATGAGGAGTAAGTGCACAGTGACTCCTGTTGTTGACTTAACAAATTGACAGTCTTGTTTATGGCCTCAGTAATCACCCTAGGCTCTTGTCATGAGCTGCCAAGGCTATGGAAGCCCCCTGAGTTCACTGACTCTGATCATATGTAGACAAGGCCATGGTCAAAGTGGAAGTTCTCTCCTCCCTTCAGAGAAAGGCACCTCCTTCTTTGATGACCCATTCTTTCCACTGGGATCTCACTCACAGAGATCTTTCATTTAGGTTTTTTTTTTCCCCCAGAGTGTCTTGGCTTTTCATGCCTGAAATACTCTCCTGGGCATTTCAGCCAGATCTGCATGCCTTAAGGGCTGATTATAAGGCCAGAGTGCTGTTAGGACATTTGCCATTCTATGAGTCTGCTGTGTATCTCACTTCCCATGTTGGATCATTCTCTCCCTTTTTGACTCTATCAGCTAGTATTTGCAGACACTATTCTTGTTTATGTGATCCCTTTGGTTCTTAGTCCTATCATTATGATCAATTGTGAACAGAAATTGATCACTGGGACTAGTGAGATGGCATTGGTACATGCCACATCGATGGGATTGAATTCGAATCCCCTGTTATGTTTCTAACTCTACCATTTGAGGTAAGTCACCTTGAGCATGTCCCGAATTGCACATCTCTTCCCTCTCTTATTCCCACTCTTACATTTAACAGCAATCACTTTTCAGTTAAGTTTCAGCACTTAAGAAGAATTGTGTATTGATTACAGTATTCAACCAAAAGTATTAAGTAGAACAAACAAAAAAAAATACTAAGAGGGATAACATATTAAGCTGCTCATCAACAGTCAGGGTGAGGGCAAGTCACCGTTTCTCATAGTGTTCATTTCACTTTCACAGGTTTCCTATTTGGTGCTCAGTTAGTTGTCACCTGTCAAGGAGAACAAGTGGTATTTGTCCCTTTGGGATTGGCTTATTTTACTCAACATAATGTTTTCCAAATTCCTAACAGGGATCACTTTTCAGTTAAAATTTAAACACCTAAGAATAATTGTGTGTTAATTACAGAGTTAACCAATGGTACTAGAACAAAAAAAATACTAAAATGGATAAAGTATTACATTGTACATCAACCATCAGGACAAGAGCTGATCAGGTCACAGTTTCTCATAGTGTCCATTTCACTTCAACAAGTTTCCCCTTTGGTGCTCAGTTAGTTATTGCCAATCAGGGAGAACATATGATATTTGTCCCTTTTGGACTAGCTTAATTCACTCAGCATTATGTTTTCCAAATTCCTCCATCTTGTTGCAAATGACTGGGTTTCGTTGTTTTTGACTGCTGTATAGTATTCTATAGAGTACATGTCCCATAATTTGTCTATCCAGTCTACCGTTGATGGGCATTTGGGTTGGGTCCAGGTCTTAGCTATTGTGAATTGAGTTGCAGTAAACATTAATTTGCAGACTGCTCTTTTGTTTGCCAATTTAATTTCCTTTGGGTAAATTCCAAGGAATGGGATGGCTGGGTTGAATGGTAGGGTTATATTCAGGTTTCTGAGGAATCTCCAGACTGACTTCCATAGTGGCTTAACTTGTTTGCATTCCCACCAACAGTGGGTTAGTGTCCCTTTTTCCCCACATCCTCTCCAGCATCTATTGTTGGTAGATTTCTGAATGTGAGCCATTTCTAACTGGGGTGAGGTGGAACCTCATTGTGGTTTTGATTTGCATTTCCCTGATTGCTAGTGATCTTGAACATTTTTTCATGTGCCTGTTGGCCATTTGGGTTTCCTCTTTTGAAAAATGTGTATTGAGGTCCTTGGCCAATCTCTTAAGTGGGTTGTTTGTTTTGATCTTGTGGAGTTTCTTGATTTCTTACTCCACAGATTTTTCAATGGCTTGGGTGGATCTGGCTGCAGCCAGGAACCAAGAGCCAGCAGCCAGGAGCCAGGAGCCAGGAGTTTCTTCCCATTACCCACATGAGTTGCATGTGCCCAATCACTTGGGCTATCTTCCACTGCATAGTTCAGGCCATTAACAGGGAGCTGGATTGGAAGTGAACCAGCACAAATGTGGGATGATTGTTTCACAGATGGCAGTTTTATCTGCTGCACCAGGATGTTGACCCTCATGAACAATTTTTTAACTTACATGAAATGTATGGGACTCTATAATTACTATCAATGTATGAGTGTTACAGTAGAGCAGGTACAGCCACTGGCTTCATTGAATATTTTTCTGCTAACTTCTTTGAACTCTTTTGATTTCCATTTTGTATTTTTTCATTCATTTTCCTTTGTAGAGTAATTGTAGTCATATAGTTTCCAGCCAAACTTTTACCTACTCGTTCTACTATTTCTGTGAAATTACTCTTTCTTATAATATATTTGATTTTGTAACATCTCCAGCATCCTCCTTTAATTTTCTTGTCTGGTCTTGTTACTATCACCTATGTATATCTTAATAATCTATTCTATGCAAATCCTTCCACTGTGAACCTCAGGTCATTTTTCTTGGTGTTTTCATTATGAGGTTATCAACTGCCATAAAATTGTGTATGTTGTTCTGGGAAGTTTCATGGACACAGTTTTTCAGAGCCATTTCAGGAGAATCTGGACAATGCCTCCTACATAGCATCATATTTCTTGGTAATTGTGAATATTTATGGAATTGTGAGATTACCTTTGATTTTTTTGGAAATGTCAGTAGGTTCCTTCTAAATCCATATATCTTACCTGTGTTATTGTTCTAGCAGGTGATGTTTTCTTTGATTCATAGCTCATGGAAAATTTTTATTTGTTTTTCTTTTTACCTTAATTACAATAGTATATGTTTTAAATAGATTTTATATATTTGAAAGACAGAGTTACAATGAGAAAGGAAGAGAGAGAGTGAAAGTGAGAGATAGAGAGAGAGAGAGAGAAATCTTCCTTCGTGGTTCACTCCCAAAATACCCACAAAGTCTAAGACTGGGCCAGACTGAAGGCACAGTACAGAAGATTTTTCCAGGTATTTCACAGGGGTGCAATGGACAAAGAATTGGTCTATCATCCAGTGCTTTCCCAGACACATTATCAGGGAGCTGGATCAGTGTGGAGCAGCCAGGACTCAAATTTGTATCCATATGGGATGCCAGCACTACAGACAGTTACCCTACCCACTTTGCCACAATATCAGCCTCAATAGTCTAGTTTTCAACAGTTTGTTTACATCCTTGTCATTCTATCATTGCTACTAAAATTATTTATTTATTCTCATAGTAATCATAATATATTTTATTTCAAAACATATTTTTTGTTTTTGCATTTGAGTCTATAGCTAACACCTATCTCTCTCTTTTTTTAAAAGACTTTATTTATTTGACAGGTAGAGTTACAGACAATTAGAGGGAGAGACAGAGAGAAAAGTCTTCCTTCTGTTGTTTCACTCCCCAGATGGCCACAATGGCAGGAGCTGCGCCAATCCAAAGCCAGGAGCCAGGTGTTTCTTCCTGGTCTCCCATGTGGGTGCAGGGGCCCACGGTATAGCAGAGAGCTTGATTGTAATAGGGGCTGCCAGGACTAGAACCTGCTCCCATATGGGATGCAGGTGCCTCAGGCAGAGGATTAACCTACTGTGCCATAGAGCTGGCCCCCTATATGTTTCTTTAACTTGGTATTGTAAGCCAGTCTTAGCACTGTGAATGCATGGTCATCATGGTTGAATTTTTCATTATGAGATCACCAGCTCCAAAAAATATTATAGTTTTTGTGGCAACCATCATGGACATGTATTTTCAGAGATGTCCTAGATTCATCTGATAATTCATTCTTGCAGTTAACAAATACCCTTAATGATTATTTGAGACTTTTCAATTGTTGAAAGTTTTGATGAATAGTTCTATATACATATTTCCTTTAAGAAAATTGTGGTTAGGAAAGAAAAAATAAGATTATTGTGGTAAGTTATATGGTCTTTGATTTCTCTTTTCTGAAATACATTTTTTGTTTTCCTTTTTTTAATGTACTTATAATAGTCTGTTTTAGAGTAATGTCATATTCTCTTTTCACACAATTATTGTTTAAACTAAAATTATTCATTTATTCTTACAGTAATTATAAATGAATTTTATTTCTTCTTAAATTTTTATTCATATAAAAAGAACAGATTTCATGAAGTTTATAGATACAATTCCAGGAAAATGACCACAATTTGCCCCCTCCCTCAATTCCCCCTCTGGCTTTCTTTTTTCTTTAATTTTTTGCAATAACAATTAAAATGTACTTTATAATCACAGATTTAATGCACCAGTAATGACAATGTTCAACAAGTAAAAAATAGGAAAACCATTATTCCACAAGAAGATAGAGAAGGTCATAAACAATGAATATATCAAATGTCAATTTCATTTTTATGCATTTTGTTTGTTGTATCCTACATTAACTCCAACATATAAGAGAAAACATGCATTACCTTTTTTGTCACTGGCTTATTTCACTAAGCATAATGGACTCTAGTTGCATCCATTTTGTTGTAAAAGTTGGGATTGCATTCTTTTTTATGACTGAGTAGTACTCCATTGTGTATATATGCCCTATTTTTATTTCATAATATTTCTTTTTTAAAAAGATTTATTTCTTTATTTGAAAGGCAGAATTACAGAGAGGCAGGGAGAAGTCTTCCTTCTGCTGCTTAACTCCCCAGATGGCTGCAATGGCCGGAGCTGTGTCAATCTGAAGCCAGGAGCCAGGAGCTTCTTCCATGTCTCCAATGTGGGTGTAGGGGCCTAAGGACTTGGGCCATCTTCTACAGTTTTCTCAGGCTGTAGCAGAGAGCTGTATTGGAAATGGGGCAGCTGGGACTCAAACCAGCACCCATATGGGATGCAGGCATTGAAGGCATTGTCTTTACTCACTGCACCACAGCACCAGCCCCTCATAATATTTCTAACTCTTTAGTTTTGTCTTTGATATTATGTGTTTTATCTATGTATCACTAATAACCTTTTTCAATATGAGGTCATCATTTATATCAAAACTGTAAATGTCCCTGCAATCTTCATTTACACAAATCTTAAAGCCATCTTAGGTCCCACCAGTTATTCACCTCTTCTTGATGACATTTTTTTAAAAAATGTTTTCTCAATTATTGGGGGACTTTGAATTTTCCTATGATTTTTAAACTACCCAATTGGGTAGTTTAAAAAATCCATGTACCATCATCTTTCATTTATGATTATTCTCAAAGAAATGGGATTGTTTTACCTTCTCTTTATTTCCCATTTTAAATGTAATTTTAATTATGTATTTTTCAGCAACTGCCCTTACAATTGTTTGTCATTCTATTATTACTCTTACCAGATTACTCATTTATTCACACATAATAATCCCTAAGTTATCATGCATACATATTTTCATAATAATCTTAAGCCTTCTGATAATTCACTGTTTTCAGTAATATATTTTTGCTTGTTCTCAATATTTATAAGATTTTGCTTTCTAAGAGTTTCAACAGGAGGATTGTGCCGCATCTTCCTGAAGAAGGTTAAGGACAAAAAGATGCACCTGGAGTTTGCCTGGAGCCCTCTGCACATCTAAGCTCGGGTGGGATCTGGGGTCCTTCGCTGGAAGCCGCTCTTGCTGAATGCAAATAGAAACCAGGCCAGCCCTCCTCAGTGGACAGTTGGTTACCTAGCAGAGGTGTCTCCTACTGAAGGTATCCTTGGCGATACTCTAAGCCATAAAAAGACAACTTGCACCCGTTTGTCTGACATCTACCCTGTCAAGTGTCCATGATGCTGGGTCCCGAGGGAGGTAAAGGCTTTGTGGTCAAGCTCCGTGGCTTGCCCTGCTCCTGCTCTATTGAGGACGTGCAGAACTTCCTGTCTGACTGCATGATTCACGATGGGGCTGCAGGCGTTCATTTTATCTACACTAGAGAAGGCAGGCAGAGTGGTGAGGCATTTGTCGAACTTGAATCAGAAGATGATGTCAAAATGGCCCTGAAAAAAGACAGGTAAAGCATGGGGCACCGGTACATTGAGGTGTTCAAGTCTCACAGAACTGAGATGGATTGGGTGTTGAAGCACAGCGGTCCAAACAGCGCTGACACCACTAATGATGGCTTCGTGCGGCTTCGAGAACTCCCGTTTGGATGCACAAGGGAAGAAATTGTTCAGTTTTTCTCAGGGTTGGAAATCATGCCAAATGGGATCACTTTGCCTGTGGACCCCGAGGGCAAGATTACAGGGGAGGCCTTCGTGCAGTTTGCCTCTCAGGAGCTGGCAGAGAAGGTGCTAGGGAAGCACAAGGAGAGAATAGGGCACAGACATATTGAGGTATTTAAGAGCAGTCAGGAAGAAGTGAGGTCATACTCAGATCCTCCTCTGAAGTTCATGTCTGTTCAGCGACCCGGGCCCTATGACAGGCCTGGCACAGCCTGGAGGTATATTGGCATTGTGAAGCAGGCAGGCTTGGAGAGAATGTGGCCTGGCACCTACAGCGCTGGCTATGGGGGCTATGAGGAGTACAGTGGCCTCAGCGATGGCTACGGCTTCACCACTGATCTGTTTGGGAGAGACCTCAGCTACTGCCTCTCAGGAATGTACGACCACAGATATGGAGACAGCGAGTTCGCAGTGCAGAGCACCACCAGCCACTGCGTCCACATGAGAGGGCTGCCATACAAAGCGACAGAGAACGACATCTACAACTTCTTCTCTCCACTTAACCCAGTGGGAGTCCATATTGAGATCTGCCCAGATGGAAGAGTGACGGGTGAAGCTGATGTGGGGTTTGCCACCCACGAAGAAGCTGTGGCAGCGATGTTGAAAGATAGGGCCAATATGCAGCACAGATACATAGAACTCTTCTTGAATTCCACCACAGGGACCAGCAACGGGGCCTACAGCAGCCAGGTGATGCAGGGCATGGGGGTGTCCGCGGCTCAGGCCACCTACAGTGGCCTGGAGAGCCAGTCAGTGAGCGGTTGTTATGGCACTGGCTATAGTGGTCAGAATAGCATGGATGGATATGATTAGTTTTGTAGAAGCATTTGAGTTAATTTCAATCAAATTTTCAGAGGCAGCCAGCAAGCAGTGAAAAAGCAGTGATTACCCTAGAGGAAGCTGTGGGACCCATTTTGCACCATGAGTTTGTGAAATCTGGATTAAAAAATTACCTCTTCAGTGTTTTCTCATGCAAACTTTTCTTCTAGCATGTGATATTGAGTAAAGGAAACTATTTTCTGCTTTTCTCGAGTAACATTTTAGTAGTATCCTTCTGAGTGATGTTATCTGAGTTAAAGTAGTTTAAGTATGCTAAATAGTGGATCTTTTACACCACACCACAGTGAACACCTTGGGGAGATGTACTTTTGTGGAAAACTCAAAGGTGCTAGATCCCTAATTCAAAGAGAAACATTTCTCATGTTTGTTCATTCTAGTTTCTATTTTCATTTAAATCTGTTAGGTTAAGTTTAAGCTTTTTAAAAGTTAGTTTTGAGAATTGAGACACAATACTAATACTGTAGGAATTGGTGAGGCCTTGACTTAAAACTTTCTTTGTACTGTGATTTCCTTTGGGGTGTATTTTGCTAAGTGAAACTTGTTAAATTTTTTGTTAACTAAATTTTTTTCTTAAAATAAAGACTTTTTCACAATAAAAAAAATATTCAACAGAATATTTGTGTCATGTTTTATTTATTACTATTCAGGTAAATGGTGACATATATCATTGATTTATGTTTCCTGGAAAAGATTTCATTTGTTTTCCCCTTTTAATGCATGATGGACTGTTTTTAGCACCTTACCTGACATTGGTTTTGCACACCTCATTCCTTTTTTTTTAAGTTTTCTTTATTTAAAAATCAGAGCTATAGGGATGGGAGGTAGGAGGGGAAGGAAGAAGGGAGGAAGAGGAGAAAGAGAGAAAGGGAGAAAAAGAGAGGAAGAGAGAGGGGAGAGAGAGAGAGGAAAGAAGGAAAGAAAGAAAGAAGGAAAGGAAGGAAGGAAGGAAGGAAGGAAGGAAGGAAGGAAGGAAGGAAGGAAGGAAGGGAGGAAGGGAGGAAGGGAGGAAGGGAGGAAGAGAGAAAGGAAGGAAGGAAGGAAGGAAGGAAGGAAGGAAGGAAGGAAGGGAGGGAGGAAGGAAGGAAGGGAGAGACCATCCATCTGCTGTTTCACTTCTCAGATGGCTGCAACAGCTAATTCTGATCCAGGTTGAAGGCTAAGAATTTCATCTAGTTCTCCCACAAGGATGGCAAGGGTCTAAACCCTTAGGCCACCTTCCACTCCTTTTCTCAGGTCATTAGCAGAGAGTTAGATCAGATGTGGGACATCTGCCCATACAGGATGCTGGCATCACAGGTAGTGTCTTGACTTATTAAACCATAAATTTAGCCTCCACTCTTGTTAACAAATTGCTTATTTTTCTCACAGTGATCACAATATTATTTTACTGCATTTGCATCTCTTTATCATTCTAGTTTATACCTTAGCATTATACGTATTACCTTTGTGTGTCATAGTATCTAGAAACCAGAGCATTCCATGTTATCTTGTTCATTGTGATTTTATCAATGCTGTGAAATTATAACTACCTCACAACCTTTATGTACTCATTTTTTTCAGATCAATTTAATGTGATACCTGGCTGTTAACTCTTTATAGGTAGCATTTTGCAGATATTGTTGATATTTTGGGGGATCAAAATGTACCTCTTATTATTGAAAGTAACATAGTTCTACATAGTCAAGGCTTTTAGTTTTTTAAAGATTTATTTTAAGGGCAGAGTGGAAAAGAAAGATGGAGGAGGAAAATTCCATGTATTTGTGCACCCATCTAATTGCCACAGCAACTGGGACTGAGCCAGGCCTAAGCCAGGAGCCAGAAACCCCATCTGGAGCTTTGATGTGGATGGCAGGAAATGGATTATTTAGGCCATAATCTTATGCCTCCAAGGTACATTAGCAGAAAGCTGGATCAGTAATGTAGAATAGATTGTACTTCTACCAGGCATCACAGTGATTGATAAGAGCAAGCCCATTGGCTTAATCCACTGTACCAGAACATCATCCCCCAGACATGCTTATTTTACTTATGTAAAATGGTATGATCTTTGGTATAAATATGTTGGATTTTCTAGCATTCATTTTTAGTTTAACAGTAACAATCTGTGCTTCTGTAACTGTATTAGATTATTTTTATTTCTCCCAAGTTATTTTTCTTACATTGATAATAATTTGCTTTTCATAATTGCATGACTTTTTAAACTATAGCTATTATCGGGGGTGGTGCTGTGGCTCACTTGGTTAATCCTCCTCCTGAAGCTCCAGCATTCCATATGGGTGCTGGTTCTAGTCATGGTTGCTTCTCTTCCAATCCAGCTTTCTTCTGTGGCCTGGGAGGGCAGTGGAGGATGGCCTAAGTGGTTAGGCCCCTGAACCTGCATGAGAGACCAGGAGGAAGTACCTGGCTCCTGGCTTCAGATCAGTGCAGTGCCAGCTTTAGCAGCCATTTGGGGAGTGAACAGAAGGAAGACCTTTCTTTCTGTCTCTCTCTCTGTCTATAACTCTACCTGTCAAATAAATTGTAAAAATTATATCTATTATCAGTACATATTTTAATGTCTTAATGTGAGCAAGCCCAACACTATGTGTTTAGCTTGGTTAGCATTTTGTGAAGTCATCAACACACTCAAATTCTGTAGGTTTCCAGTTAACTCTCACGTACATAGTTTCTCACAGATATGTTAGTTCTAAATTTTGCCTTTGATTTTTAAAACTTCCACACTGTAATTCAAGATATGTGAACCTTTCCTTTCATATATTATAGAACATGACATGATCTGTGTTATTTAAATTTTGGGATTTTTTCATAATTTCTGTTATTGATATAATTGTGTTGAACAATTTATCAGAAAGTTCCCTATGTTTAGTTTTCACACCATTATTTCCCCTTTCAAATTACACATTACTTCACACAGTAACCATAACGTATCTTATTTCATAGTGTGTGTTAATTTTTACTTGTATCTGTAATCAAAACATATGTTTTTATAACACATTCATCACTTTTTATTTTTACTTTACTTTTTAACCTGTTGTTATAACCCGTGTATCACTAACATTCTAGTAAGCCAGTGGTGATACAGTGACTTTGTTTCAGACTTGCTTTGCATTTTCACTGCTCGAAGCTCTGTGAGTCCTCCTGGGAAATTCATGTGTATACAGGAGTCCTAGGCCAGGTGTATTTACTCTTCCTTTCTAATTGACACATTTTTACCTTTTCCAGATTTTTATCATTGGCATATGAAATTTTCCATCATACATTCTAGACACTGCTATATGTCCTGTAATATACCATGTAACTTGGAAAGATCTCATCATGATTTTAGGTACTCCATTTAAAAATTTTTTTTACATTTTTTTTATTTTAAAGATAGATTTAGATACATACAGACAGAGGGAGAGACAGAGGGAAAGATGTTTCATCTACTAGTTCACTCCCCAAGTCTTCACTATGGCTGGAGCAGAGCCTATTCAAAGCCAATAGCAAAGAACTTCTCTAGGTCCCCCAAACAGGTTCAGAGGCTTATGTTCTTGTCCCATTCTCTCTACTGCTTTCCCAGGCCATAACAGAAAGCTGGATTAGAAGACTAGCAGCCAGGACATGAACTAGGACACATCTGGGATGCTAGCACCACTGGCAGAGGCCTAGCCTACTACACTTCAGCACCAGGCCCTAAGAAATACATTAAACTTCCTTGTAACAGACACTTTTTCACCAAATACCTTTATGCTTGCTAATTAATATTACTCCAACCAAGTTATTCAGTTTTACTTTCCATTTTAGAAAAATATTTTAGGAGCCAGTGCTGTGGCACAGTAGGTTAATGTTCTGGCCTGAAGTGCCAGCATCCCATATATGTGCCGGTTCAAGTCCTGGCTGCACCACTTCTGATCAAGCTCTCTGCTATGGCCTGGGAAAGCAGTAGAAAGTGGCTCAAGTCCTTGGGCCCCTGCACCTGTGTGGGAGACCCAGAGGAAGCTCCTGGCTCCTGGCTTCAGATTGGCACAGCTCCAGCCATTGAAGCCACCTGGGGAGTGAACCAGTGGATGGAAGATCTCTCTCTCTCTCTCTCTCCCTCTCTCTCTCTCTCTCTCTCTGCCTCTCCTCTCTCTGGGTAACTCATAAACAATTTAAAAAAAAAGAGAGGGAGCCCCTGCACCCGAGGTTCAGTGCCCTGTTCTTTAAAAAAAAAAAAAGAACGAAAATATTTTATGTAGTGAATATTTTATGTAGTGTTTTTGCTATTGTGTTTGAATTTATTGCTCTCTCTCTCTCTCCCCCCTCCACTCCCTTTCTCTGTCTCTCTACTTTAAATGAGTGCCACTACTATGAATCTGTGGCCATCTTGCTTGATTTTTCATTGTGATGTGATCAGGTCATTCAAAATTCTGAAAGCTGTCCTGGCAACATTCATGTGCACAGTATCTAGGGTCAGTTTAGTCTTTTACACCTTCAAAGTCACTTATTTTAAACCTAGTTGACTTTTATGATTACAAAGTTATCATTCACAGAAATTTTCCAAACTGTAGCCACAGATACACTTTCTCTTAAAATTATTAAAGTAGATGGAATGATCTCTGGTTGTTTTACATTCATTGATTTTTATTTTTTATTTCACTTCAAATTTAATTATAATTACTGTTTTCACCAAATCCCCTCATATCTACTTTTTAATAGAATTTATGGGGTTGTAAATTAACCTGCAGTTTTAGAAATTTTGCAAAGCATACTTCTAGATATTAGGATGATTTCCTTAAGTTCATTTTCTTAAGTGATTTGATCATTCATTGATTCAATGTATTGAGAATTTTTTTATATTTCTTTTTTAAGTATAGTTGAATATCTTTTTACACCAAATACTCCTATTTTGACTTGTCACCCTGTTATTTCTCATATTGCATTACTAATTTTTTAAAGATTTTTGTTTATTTGACAGGTAGAGTTACAGACAGTAAGAGAGACAGAGAGAAAGATCTTCCTTCCATTGGTTCACTCCCCAAATGGCCGCCACGGCCAGAGCTACACCATCGTGCTGACCACTGCATTACTAAATTTTGCTCACTAAATCTCTATATTAGTTAAAACATTTCATAGCATGAGTATCTACATTATTGTTTGGTTTTGAAAGATATTTTTCTCATGTTGAAAAAGGTTATGTAGACACATCATTCATTCAATAATATTTTACAACAAATGAGAATTGTATTGAGGCTACAGGACCAAGGGTTCTGGCAGGGCATCCCTGTATAGGCAGAGCCATAAATGACCATATTGGGCTGGAAGTTTTTCTGTTTGTTTATTTTTAAATATTTATTTATTTATTTGACAGGCAGAGTGGACGGTGAGAGAGAGAGACAAAAGTCTTCCTTTGTCATTGGTTCACCCTCCAATGGCAGCCTCTGTGGCCAGCACATTGTGCTGATCTGAAGCCAGGAGCCAGGTGCTTCTGGACTTGAGCCATTCTCCACTGCCTTCCCAGGTGACAGCAGAGAGCTGGCCTGGAAGAGGGGCAACTGGGACAGAATCCGGCACCCCAACTGGGACTAGAACCCAGTGTGCCAGTGCCGCAGGTGGATGATTAGCCTATTGAGCCACAGCACCA